GCAGCAGCAGCAGATGCAGCTCGTACCTGTAGATCTATCTCTGTCTGCCTTTGGTAATATAGAGGCATTGCATGCAGCAAGGAAAGCATCAAGACAAAAGGAAGCAAAGACACTGCAGCAAATGCAGATAGCTGTTGCTGCTGCTGCTGCAGATGCTGCAGCAGGAGGAGGAAAAAGGAAGCAGCAGCAGCAGCAAATTAAGGGACCTAAGCCGCAGCAGCAGCAGCAAGAAATAAAAAAATTAAGAAAACCTTTCTGGTTCGAGAGATTCTATTGGTTCATCACTACAGGTATTATTTCCTGCTGCTGCTGCTGCTGCTGCTGTTGCTGCTGCTGCTGCTGTTGCTATTTGCTGCTGTATTTGCTCGTCGTGCTGTGGGGTTTGTTGCTGTGTGTTGCGTCTCTGCTGCTTCTGCTGCTGCTTCTGCTGCTGCACCTGCATGTATGTGTTGTCTCTGTTGTGCTGCTGTTCCTCATGTGCTGTTGCTGCTGTTGCTGTTGCTGCTGTTGCTGCTGCTGCTGCATGCAGATGGGTATTTAGTAATAGCAGGACGTGACGCGCAGCAGAACGAGACACTTGTCCGTCGTCATTTGCTGCAGCAAGATCTATACGTGCATGCAGACATCCATGGTGCAGCAACATGTATAATTAAGACGGGTAGCTCTGCTGCTGCTGCTGCTGCTGCTGCAGCAGCAGCAGCATCTAGTAGTAGTAATACATCTACATCTACAGGAGGAGCAGGAGGAGGAGGAGGAGCAGCAACAGCAACAGCAACAGGAGGAGGAGGAGGAGGAGTCCAAATAGATCAATCCCCTCCTGTACCTGCAGCAACACTGCAGCAAGCAGCAGAGTTTGCTGTTTGCCGCAGCAGCGCATGGGCATCCAAGGCTGCTGTTGCTGCTTGGTGGGTATTTGGTCATCAAGTATCCAAGACTGCACCATCAGGATTATATCTTACGTACGTTCTTGTACTCCTCCTCCTGCTGCTGTTGGTGGTGGTGGTGGTGCTGCTGCTGCTGCTGATGCTGCTGATGGCGGTAGTGCTGCTGCTGCTGCTGCTGCTGCTGCTGCTGCTGCTGTTGTATCTGCTTTTGTTGTTATAATGATGTATTGCTGCTGCTCTTTCCCTATATTCCCTAAAATCCCTCAATTTGCTGCATATGTTTCTGTGTTGTTGCTGCTGCTGTTGCTGCTGCTGTTGCTGCTATTGCTGTTGGTGTTGTTGCTGTTGGTGTTGCTGCTGCAGTACGGGTTCGTTTATGGTTCGTGGTAAGCGTCATGCGGTGTCTGTACACCGGCTAGAGATGGGGTTTGCTGTTATGTGGCGTCTTGGTGATGATGCATCTATAGCTAGACATAGATTAATACATAAACAGCAGCAAGAAGAAGAAGGAGGAGGAGGAGGAGGAGGAGGAGGAGGAGGAGGAGGAGGAGGAGGAGGAGGAGGGG